ACAAGTCTGGGAGGAAAAGAGCAAAAACAAAATCAATAGAAACACTGCCATAGTCACCTCCCCACGGGTCTCTCACCCACGTCTGTTTCACCCAGCCCAGGATAAAAGAGCCGCTTCCTGGCCTGTCTCTGCCCATGTATCCCCCCTCAGGTCTCCTAGCTCTCCATCCTGCTTCCTTCCTTTACATCTCTCCCTGCTCAGCTCCACCTGGAGCCTCCCCTTTTCCTGGGGACGCTCTGTTACACGGCTGCATTTGGGAGGGACCTGCCTCACTCTCCAGCCTCTCCCCAGCTCCCAGCAATAGCACCCTTCTACCTTCAGTCCTCCAAGTAGTAACACCAGGCTTTTGCTGTTTTTCTGAACATCACATTTGTTCCTTCTAAGTACCTGGTTCAGTAAAGAAACCTGGACTCTGTTCAGGAAGAAAACCTGAACCTGGACTAACCTGGACTATGGCTCCTGTCGGAATTGATAAGCATCTGGAGAAATATCTTTACAGCATACAACTTTAACTTCTGTCCTCTAATAGTGCAGTTATCTACATAGCATATATCACCCAATGTATAATTATTATCTGTCTGCAGACAGCTATGTGTCCAGCACTAGTAAAGTCCTAAGAGCGGGGACTGTTCTGTTCACTGTGGTGTCCCTGGTGCTTGGCACAGAGCAGGTCGCAGCATTCACTGTTGAATGAATGAGTGAGTAAATGACCGCCTGAGGAGGAGTTAGGCGGAAGACAGCAGTGTGGTCCAGTTGCAGACAGAAGAGCTGACTCTAAATTTCTCCTCTCTTCGCCTGCTCCCGGAATGCTTGAGAGCCTAGGAGGAGGCGGAAATGGGCGCGCTCAACAGCCCTCCAGCCGAGTGTTTACTTAATTAGGGCCTGAGTCCCGAGGCTCGTTTGTGTTTAACTGTCTGCATAATGACTTCTTCTGGCACCGAGCGGGCGCAGGGGAACTTGCGAGCGAGGATAGGCAGGGCCACTCAGTCAAGTCTGCGGCTGGGGCCGCCGCGTTGCACCCCCGCGCGGGTATCTAACTTCACCCGTGGGCACTGAGAGCGCCCCTCGCGGGCAAGCTGGCCTGAGTGCCGCGGAGCCCAGCAAGCTGCCTCGGGCTGTGCCTTTCGCGTTTGCCCCTTCTAAACCCAGCTTCTGGGACCAAGCGCCGCATAGCTCAGCGCTCAGTGATAACAGATGCCAACTGCTTGCTTTATCCTCAACCGTGAAATTGAAGGATTACTGCGTTTCTCATTCTTTTAGTTCGATAATGTGGGGGGGGGGGGCGTTGTGCTACAGAAACAGTTCGCGGAGGTTGGGGGGGGGCGGGTAGGAAGAGGAGAAATGAGCTATCCTAGACTGTAAAACCAGGCAACGTTTGGGCACTTACTATGTGTCAGGTTCGAGTTTAGCAATTTAAACGTGCTAATGTAGGTAATTCTTGTCTGTATGTATTAAGTTATCTAACCATAGCATTTTAGAGGGCAGATGTCATAACCCAATTGTCGCACGCAGAACTGAGGTTCAGAGGGCTGGCACAAGGCCACAGCACTAGTCCGTGGCTGAAGCAGGGTTTGAGGCCAGGTGCTGTGGACCCCGAAAACTGAAGCTTGGCTAGAGAGAGGCTGGTCGCGGCCAGAGCCATTCTCTTCCTGGTCGTAGGCCTGGCAGTGGGAAGGGCAGGCAAGCCACCAGGTTGGCCCTTGGCCAAAGAATCTGTCAGAAACCCCATTCTCTTCCGCACACCCCTAAATCTGTGTTGGGGCAGGGCAAGAAGAGGGCAGAGGAGGTGTTAGCCCAGGTTCTCAAGGCAGCTAGGGAAGGTGGGAAAGCTCTGTTGGTGGGAAGAGGGCATCCAGGCTAGAACGATTGAGCTGGGGGGTGGGGGGACCTCATAAACGGAGAAAAGGAAAACTCGTCCGGAGCAGTGCAGGCGAAGGGCAGACGTTCTCCAGGGAGGACCCCTGGAAGTTTGCGCGGCAAGCAGTCTTAGAGGACATTCAGTATTTGACCAACAAAAAAGGGTGTTTAAAAAAAAACACCTGTGTTTACCATTTACATAAAGTTGCGAAATTGTAATTTTATGGGGGATGGATGAGGTGTGCTGGAGATGAGGCGACCTCGTCAGTCACCCAGCTCGGTACCTCGCACCCTGTGGCGTTACCCCAGCTTCGGAGCTTTGGGACCTTCTCTCCTAATCTCCGTTTGTTCGGGAGTGGAAGAGAATTAAGGGTTTTCCCGCAAGTGGTAGCCGATCCTGCTGGGCTCTCCCGCGGGACCTCTCCGATAGTTTTAAACCGCTGGTGTCCCGGGAGAAGGCTGGAGAGGGAGGTGCAGGAAGAAGCAGAGTGGCCCCTCGGTAGCCCCTGGCGGTGCGACACACCCGGCCTACATCCAAGTTCTCGAGGCGGGGGTGGGGGCGGGGAGCATGAATGGGGCGCCCTTTTTCCAGTTGGGTGCAGATGTGTTTCCACTTTTCTTCGCTGCAGCCACAAGCACAGAAACATTTTTCTTTGCTAGCTGCATAGATTGAGAAGTGGGGTTTTTTTTTTCATCTTTTTTCCCTCCTCGAACCCAACACCTACAAAAACAGGCCTGGGTTTCTGCCAGGAACGGCTCCACAAAAGAGGAGAGATCGCCGGAGGGCACGGAGGGCAGGAGGGGCTTCCCGGGTGCCAGGACCCAGCCAGCCGCGGCCCCACCTGCCAGGGGGCGGGACTATGGGCTCTGGACCAATCAAAAATCCTCCTGCGCTCACCTGGCCTCCCCCGCTGGCTTCCGAGCCGCGGGGCTCACTCGGGCTGCTAAAGCTTAGCTGAGTACCAACTCGCCGTCGCGCCGGCTTCTTCACCTCCCTTTCTCCAGTCATGGGGCTGCGTAGTGGGCCTCTCTCGTCCCTCCTCCTCCTTCTCGTCCTCCTACTCCAGGTACTCCACCGCCTTGCCCTTGCCCGAGCCGAGACGCTCCCTGGAGGGCGGGTGGGGTCCGCACGCGGCGCTGGTGTCGGGGAGAGCGGCGGGTGAGCTCCTTAGGGCCAAGGGGTCAGGAAGCCCAGGAAGGACACCCCCCTTTTCCGGGATGGGCTAGTAGTGCCGGGCACATCTGTGACCCACACGCCTTCTTTCCACCCCCTCTTCAGGCACTAGTTTGCTGGCTGCCGCGCGTGGCCTCGGAGCCGTGCAGGGCGGGCTACGGGGAGGCTGAATTGACCTTGGAGGCGGGAGGCACGGAGTTGGAACCCGGCCAGGCTCTGGGGAAAGGTAAGAAAGACCCAGCGGGAGCGGGTCCGGTAAATCCGCGGAACCGAGGGCCTGCACGTGGTCGGCTCTCGCGAGGTGGGTCCAACCTGGGGCAGGGGGTACTTCTGGCCCGCCACAGGTGCGGGGAAGGCGCAGAAAGCTTCTCCCGGCCGGGATGGAGGGGGGGCGGGCAGGGTGGCCTTCTGACCCAGAAAGGCCGAGACCCCAGCCTCCTCGGATGTCCAGCCCCTGCTTGCCTTGCTGCCGCGACTTACCTTAGCCACTTCCTTAGGGCGCGGGTGACTGATCTCGACCACCAGCCCCGATGCGGCCACTCCCCCCCACCCCCCGCTGACCTCAGCGGAGGAATGTGCGCTCCACAGTCCTCCTCCAACCCCCTCGCAGGTGTGGGGATGAGCCCTGCCCTGAGCAGTCCCCTTCGCCCCTCTTGGGCCCCCTTTGTGTAACGTGCTTTGTGTCTTCGACAGACAGACCAGGTCTGTTTCTCTTCTTCGCTCTCCCCTCCCCGCCCCCCTTCTTCCCGGGCAGCTGGAATGCACTCTTAACCCTGCCCTTCCCGGAGGGCCTGCGCCCCTGCGGTTTGCCTGGAAACTGGGCCTGGCACACCTGGGTTAGGGCGATCACGCACAGGGGACACCCCTGATTCTCATACTTGTCTCTACCCCAGCGTCTTGGGACAGGAATATTAGGGCATTTGGAGAAGGTGGGGAGAGGGTTGGTCGGTCTCAATACAGATTTAGAACTGTGCGGGCACTTATGGGAGATCAAAGCACATTTTTGATCTCCAAATTATTTGTTCGCCACTCAAGTTAAAAAAAAGTCGAGCGTTAGGGAGTCAGCTTGAATGGGAGAACCTGTATCATGAGACCTTGGTAGCTGCTGGCTGATGGGGGCCTCTTTCACTTCCCTTCAAGGACTGTGTTCTGCCCGCCCTCTCCCCCCCATCAATTCCAATATCTTATAACACCCAGGATCCTTGTGGGCCTCCCAGAGGATCCTTAGATTGTAAAATTGTTTGTGGAACTTATGGAAGCATTTTTCTGGGTAGGAATCTATAGTTTACCTAGCTTTATAAACAATAAAGAACTGTTTACCTCTAGCATTTTACTAATGCCCCCATCAGCATATTCTTCACCCCAGGTACAAATTAGCACAGCTTGCTTGGTTAGGTGCCTGTACCTTTGGGGCAGAATGGCTCTCCTTTGTTTCTCAAAAGAGGATTGGGAGCCCGGAGTCTGTGGAAGCCGTTTTTCCTTCCTTTTCCAAATAACTCTGCAGATTGACACAATAATTAACACCCAGACTAGGCCGGGCTCCTTAAACTCTTGGCTGTAGGGAGCTAGGAGAGGCATTAAGAGGCCATGCCTCATAAACTTTAAATTCTTGCACATGGGTTTATTACTGACGAGCTAACAAACTGCAACTCTGGCCAATCTGTAAAAAATGTTAACTTGGGCAGGGCCCCAAATTCAATTCCAGCTCCCCGAGGAAGCTTTATTGCTAACCAGACCTCTGCTGCTAAATCTGTGCTCTTCCACCTCATTGTCAAGTTCTAAGTCTAGTCTCTGAGAGCAGGCTGTGGCTTTGAGTATTGTCTGTGCCTTATCTTTCTTACTGAAGCAAGAAATATCAACTCAACTGTCAATTCACTAAGCTCGAGGTTGTTGAGGGGAAGCTGTGATCAGGTTTTCGATTTCATGGTCCGGTGGCAAGTACTTCCTGATGACGTCAGGCAGGCATTTTAAACCTTTTGAGAAAATTCTGCTTTCTGGGATGTCTGGTTTATGGTTGTGAAAATGGTGGGTTTGTGCCAGGAGCACACCTGGGTTATAAAACAAAGGGTGGGTTAATGTGCTTGACTAACCTTGAGCCTCCCTGCAACATGAAGGGTTCTTGGAGGAGTCTTCTCTGCAATAGGCTACTGCTGCCCTTTTAAAATAAATGCAAGTTTCTGGACCCAATTGCTTTCGATAAATTGGGACTCCCAAACACAAAATACTAGTATTTGTTCACCTTAGCTGCTGGAGTCTTCCTACTGCCCGACCTCTACCTCAGGTCTCCATCCTTAGAACACAGCATGGCTCCTGCCTGGTTGAAAGGGTTACCTGAGGGTGCATGCAAACTCCTAAGTTTGGCCAAGCAGACAGCAGTTTTCCATATTGCAAAAGAACTATTGCCCCTGTTTGCCCCTGGGTTATGAATATCATAGGTGTCTATGAAGTTGAGCTCAAAGGAATTATCTGATATAATTATTGCCTTGTTTGTATGCGTGCTTTCCTCTTCAAAGCTCTCCCACAATTCTGAGCTTGCTTTATCCTCCTGACATTCTCTTGAAGCTGGTAAGGTAAATATTAAACAACTTGAGCTCATAATCTCAGAACTGGGACTTCAGAAACCCAGTAGCCCAGCCCTGTTGGAGGTTTTAAAAGTGGAGAAATGAAAGAATAGCTTCATGGATTCAGTGCCCCAGCCGAGTGGCTCGTGAGCACCCTGAAGCTCCCTAATTGCCACCTCTGGGTATGTGTCCAGGCCCTGGCATGTGAGACGATGGCCAGTAGATATTTGAGTCCTACAGTCCTGTGAACGTCTGCCCATTTTGCAGATGAACTCTTAGTGGTTCTGGTTTTCCCAAAGCCAGCACTGCAGTGAAAGATTTTATTTATTCATGCATGTAAGTACTGGGGTACAGGCCAGAGGTGCAGGAAGTGAGAGAATTCACCAGAGACAGAGGAGCAGAGCAGGCAGGTGGACTAAAATACCCTGCTAAGGAGAGCAGCGGGTGAGACAGGTGAGGTCTGCTGTGCCGTGTGGCTGGGGATCCAACTCATGGTACAGTAGCTGCATGTAGCTTCACAGTGCACCAGGGAGGGCCTTAGTTTTTATTCATTTTTTTAAATACAAGTTTCTTGACTTCCAAATACCCAGACATTTTACTACTGGGAAATATGAGAGGTGAGTCGAATGAAGATGTGACTGTGGAGTCCCAGTCTCCTACCCCAACAGTGCTCACTCATTTACTCCTTTTTATTTAAGGGTGTTCCCAGAGCCTGCCTGTAGAGAAAACTGGCTTGGATACAGTCTCTGAGTTTCCTCATGGTAGGACTTGGGGTGGGTGAAGCTGAGTGAGCTGTTACTCTGGGAGGGACTAGAACTGGAGCTATTCCCCCACCTCCACCTTCCAACCCACCTCCCACTTCCTTCAGGTGTGGTCTGGGAGCAAATACAAAGGAGGGGTGGGAGGAGGAAACTTGCATGGTTAGTGGAGTGATTAGAAGAGAGGGATCTCAAGTGGTCTACACATCCTTAAAGGCAGCTGAGACTGGCGCTTTAATGGCAGTAAAACAAATCCAGGGCTCATTATGGCCCCTTGCAGGTTCAGTTCACCCTTAGTCAGCCTTTGGGTAAGATTAAAGCCAACCTTCATTAGTGCAGGTAGGAAACTTCAAAGTTCAGTAATGAATCTGACATTAAGCATGAGTTTAACTTCAAGATGGTTTTTGCCTATTTCAAGTAGGAGTGTAAGAGTTGCCTTTAATTTTGAAATCACCATTCTGGGCTACGTCAGTTTATTTACAGCTTCTTCTTTTGGTATATTTGGCATCTGCATGTCCCAGGCACTGTTCTAGAACTGCGGCTAAAGCCATGTACAAAACCATATCCTTGGCCTTGGACCATTTCTGGTCCACTGTTAGTTATTGTTATGCTATGACTGCCCTGCAGAGCACGTGAGAGCGGGCTGGGATGAAATGTGGATGTAGCAGTAACTTTCTCTGAGCTGTAAAATGGGGCATGGGGCTGGGCGTGAGATCACTGGGGCTGTCAGCAGTGAGTTAAACCCTGGTTTCTGCCTCTACAGCCCAAGGGAGTTCATAGTGCTCAAGAAATCTGCCTCTGAGGAATGAGTATTTGGAAGAGAGTTGAGGGGAGGGTTGGCTATGAGCCTGGCCTGCTGCTGGCTCAGCAGCAGTTCGTGCTTGTGCCTGAGGGGCAGGCACAACTTCTGGTCTCCTCACCTGTTCCCAGGTTACCCAGTGGAGGGGGCCTTGGCCTCCCTGCTCCAGGAGGAAAAGCATTGCTTACCAGGAGAAATGGTTTAAGAGTTTCTGTGACTAGAAACTGAAGTTCTGCAAAGCATATGGAGGATGAGAAGGAGGGAGAGCACGGTCCCATTAGCAGAGGCTTCTGGCCTGAGGCTGGCTGTCTCTGTGCAGGGAATGACTGTTGAAAACCAGCACAGGTGGAGAAAGGTGCCCACGCGATGGGCACACAGCTCAGTGGACACCACAAACTTATAAAAACCATGTACCTGGCACACAGGTCCAGAAACAGCATTCCCAGCGCCTCATGCCTCTTCCCTCCTGATCACTCTCCCCCCAAGAAATCTTCTAACTTCTAGCACTGTGGACAAATGTGCCTGTCTTTGAACATTTCATAGAAGAATAGAATAGCCCCGTGGCTCTGGCTGTCTTGCACACTTCTGGGCATCTTGGGGTTTGATCCTCAGTGTCCCGTTGTTAGTGTACATTGTGTGATTGGCCACAGTTCTGCAGACGGTAGTTCAAGGATTTGCATTTGCTGGCTAATACAGGTAGTACTGCTCCGACCGTTATTGTTTCCAGTCTTTTGGTGACAATATGTACTGTGATGTGAGGTATGTCACTGGGAGGTAGTGGCTGGGTTAACGGAGAGCTAGCCAGACTGGCTTAGTCTGTACTGCGGTGTGTACTGAGAAGCTCCTTTTTCTTCAACTTGAAGTAATTGAATCTATTCTGGATTCCACCCCCACCCCAGCCCTTGCAGTCTCCTCACCAGACTTCTCATCCTGTGTCAAGAGACAGCAAGTCTTTGTTGTGTACTGGGGGGTGGTGGGAGTGACATCCTTTCCTTTATTTGTCCTGAAACTAATGCTCGTTACTTTCCTCAGAGTAGAAAGGGTGTCTGGTGAGGGTCCCAAGTATTTAGGTTGGGTGGAGGTTTTTAGCCTGCCTGTGTGTTGGTGG